AACAACTGTCAATATAACAAGTAATCTCCAATAAGCTATCTATGCTTCTTTTATTGTAAAAGAAAGATAATGAAATTGAAATATCCTTCCACTATCAAAAGATAGTCATCCTTTGCAATTCTCAACACTGACTAAATCAAGCGATTCATGGTTACGCAACGCCAAACCATCGATGATACACTCCAAAGTCAATAGCAACTTCGACTAACCCAATGGAGGACTTGTATTGTACCAGAAAACTCAAGCAGCCGATTCTCACTTTTGCAAAATAAGCTCTGACTATGATCCATGCAAGTAATTTCGAAAGTTGCGTTGAAGCTTTTTGCAAATATGGTTTCTATCATATACTTTCCTTGTGTTTAAACATTAGGGGCAATAATGTCATTTTGTTGTTAAACTTAATTTCATTTTGGTCCTCAAAGCTTGCAGCGTGACTTCAAATTTGGTTGGTCTTGTCTTGATTTGAAGATGTCTAGCTACTGTGGTTCTATAATGAAATTCTCCCTTCTTTAGTTTTTAATATCTAAAATATATGCCATGTGGTGTGGCTACCAGATAGTAGATAAATCAAACTAATGGTCACAGTAGTCCATGGCAACATTATATTGTAGTCTCTGTTTATCAAATTGTAAAATAATTTTAAAGGAATTTTTTTCTCAAAATATAAAACAATTTGTAATAATTGAATGTGTAAAGGTATTTTTAAAAAAGTCATAGTTTTATTATGAAAAAAATAAGTTTGTAAAGTGTCATTGTCATATTTTATTAATATGTATAATTTTATATCAAATTATCTTATATTTTGAGACAGAGTAAGTATTATGTTAAAAAATGTTGAAGCAATATTGCATAAAAAAAAACTTAAAAATACCAATTGCATTTATATGAAAACTTTGGGATCAAATTTGTACACTAACCCAAACCATTCATTCTTTAAAAATTGAATACACTCAATAGTTTATTTATATAAAAAAATAAATCTACATCTATATTCCATATAGTAAGTTTGTATACCATGCCGCATCAATAAATGCAATGAAAATATCAACCACGGTGCCCAAATTCAACTAACTTTAGCTATTACGGCCTCCAGTATTAAATATTAAGCCATTAAAGTCAAACTAGAAACCTCTTTTTAGTACTTCGAGGTCCATAGATACAAGCCAGGCCTATTTATTAGTATTCGCCTATTTGGCAAAAGTATATAAAAATATAAAGATATATTTGATAAATAAAAGAATTATACACACGCATAGGCATTGTTTGAATGTAAAACATGCTCCTCCATCTTAAATTTTAAAATATTTTTTTAAAAAAATTTATATTATAAATGTAAAATATTTTGATAAAATCAATATTTTACTAAATACATTTATTTTAATATTATTATTTTTATTTAACTAAATTTAATCCTCATGCAATGCATGAAAATGTTTAGCATATAAAAGATAAAAATAAAAAATTTAAAAATGATTTTAGACTACTTATAATTTAAAGTAAAATACATGGTCCTCCCTCCATTTATTTTAATTGTAAATACTTATTTTTTATTTTTAAAATCTATACAAACCTTTCTTAAAATTAATAGATATAAATATCATTTTTTTTTTTTTACTTTTAAGCTTTCATTTCTATCTATCCAATCATTAGTTGACAATTAAGTTTATATATTAGATTAAAATTAATTTTTTAAAATATAAATATTATCTAAAAATTATTCATGCTACCCCAAAACATTTAAATGATAAATTATTTTAAATTTTATTCATTTTTTTAAATTTATAGCTATAAAAATGATTTATTTATTATTTTAAAAAATTTAAATATATAAGTTTGCTAAAATAATGTTTTAAAAATAATAGAATATGAATTTCTTTCAGTTAATTAATGGAATATGAATTTAATATAATAAGAGATATATTAGTCAATATAATTTATGCTTATTTTTATTTGAAATTTATAATTTTAATAAAATTATTTTTAAAACACTAACCTTTATATTTTATTCTACAATTTATTATCATATGCATATAAAATTTAAAAGTAATAAATTATTTTATTTATAATTTTTTATTTTCGAAATAAAACTCATCAAGTTACTTATGAACATTTTATGTTTTATCTAAATAATTTTTTTTAATTTCATTGCATATTTAGCACCTATATATTATTTTTTTAGGTTAATAAGCAAAATGGACCTTAAAGTATTATAAAAAAAAGTGCTCTAGATCTTAAATTCTTAAAATATACAAAATAGACTCTAAACCTCTCCATTAACTGCTAATTAATGCCTTTACCATTCACTTAGTAGAGCCCAGTCAAAATGTTGATATGGCAACCTTTTACTGATGTGACATTTTTAATTAACATCACAAATCATAAACTATTGTATGAATAACATCCTGAATCCTAAACTTTAAAATTTAAAGCAAATTATCCTTACTATTTTTGTGTAGAATGGTGACTATTGTATAAATCAAATTAGCCTCACAGTGGTCTGTCATAGTGAATGGATCATTGGCTGCATTGAACGACCCATAATTTTGTAAGATAACATTTTTTTTCTCCTTTTTTTGCAATATTTTCTAAACGATTGATATTTCATGCTTTTATATACTCTATTATTCTCATTTAGTCTTATTTTAAATGATTTTTATTTATTTAATGTTAAAACTTGAGATCTCATTTAAAAAATATTTTAAAAAATAGTATAGCATTCTATTCAAAACACTGTATATCTACAGTGTTTTAATATGTGCTTTACTATATACATTGAATGGATGAATTGATATTGATGATTAATTCTAGATTTTTGATAGCTTTATGTTAAAGAGTTTGAATTTAAATATCAATTGATATCAAAATTAACAAGAGAAAATCAACTACTCCCTTCCTTTCTCATAATCATTATTATAATTATAGGAAAAACATAATTATTAGTTTTTATAATTATATTAAATTTTTTTAATTCTTGTAATTTTTTTAATATTTTTAATCTCTATAATTTTAGTAAGATTAAGTGATGTTTATTGCTCAGGTCCAAATGATGTTAAATTACAGAGATTATAATAACGGAAAACAAATTGAAAGGACTAAAAGTAAATCTTGACAAAACATTTGAGACCAATAATGATATTTTTCCATAATTGTAAGACATTTTTTTAGTCCCTATCATATTTCTAAAACATTCCAGTCTTTCCAAATATCAATATCCTAAGACTTGGATCGGATTAGCATTGAATAGGGACCAATTCTAAGCTAAAATTTATGCGCGCGCATATATACATATACATACATACATATACATACATATACATATATATATATATATATATATATAATAACACACACGAAATGTACATGGAAAGAAGAAAAATGAACAAATATATAAAAAATATGTATGTATATGTACATTATAAAATTATAGGTCGTGAATCATGAAATAAATATATGCATTGAGAGAAAGATGATTGAGTATCAACAGTATTTACATGTAAGGTTAAAGGGGAAAAAAAAAAACAATCTAAAGAATTTTTTCGCTGAGAGCGCAAGTCAAAAATGATACATTGATATCTATGCATTCCTTTTAGTGGGATATCATGACTATCCTGTTAAATTTTAATACATTCGTTAAGACTGACAATTTAAAAAAATGATAAGATACAAAAATATTCAGAAATTTTTTCTCTAAAAACTTTTGATATCCTTAAATATGGGTATTTTGTTCATGAAGAAAAAGAATTAGAAGAGAGAGGTGCTAAAAAGACTTCTCATCAGCAAAGAACACAATCGTATTTAAATTATAAAAATTTTTAATAAATTTGTTAATCATTAATTTAAACAGTACAGATTTAATCTAGATAAATAAATTTAATATTATTTTTTAGATTGATTATCCAAATTTATTCTAAGTAATACAAATAATATCCTTGCACTTTCCAAAAAAAATATTTTTTTAAAAAAATTAAAAGTTAAAAATTTTAAATATGAACCATTCAAAATTAATTTATAAAAATTTTAATATTAAATTGATTCATATACATTAAATAAAAACTATTTAGATTGGTGATAAAGCAGTTTTATTAATTTTTTTATTAAAAATATAAAACATGATTATGCTTTGCATGTGAGAAATCTTTTTATAAATGTCTATCTTTTCAATTACTTTCTTCATATCACAATATAATTCATTTTCTGAAAGTTTTACCTGGTCCACAATATAAGGTATTGGGTGGGTATTATATAATTTTTTTTCAATTAATCCTTACTTTATTAAGTAATTAATGAAGATATTTTAAATAATTAAATCAAATGCTATATTTATTACACTTAAGTGTATTTTAGAAACATAAGTTAATAAACAATGAATATATATATATATATATATATATTATAATTCGGAGAGAGTATTGAATAAAATGCACGGTCAGGATTGCCCAGCTCCGCTGCACTGGATCCGTTCCCACTTCCCAGGATTCAATCATATTAAAGCTACATGAGCTGATATTTCGACCTGTTTAATTGCGGATTCAATTATAATTTCAGAATATACTCTTGATTGCAAATGATGTATCAAATTAATGAGGTTCAATTTTTTATTTATTTATCAGAGATATTTTTGGAATAACACAAATTACTGTTAACATTCATCAAAATGCTTTTTGAATTAAAATATAAAACCTTAAAAACTTGCCTCATTTATTTTTAATATTTTGACCCAAAAATTAAATTCAAGAGAAAATCACAAATCACAAATCAAAAACTTAATTATAAAAATGACAAAATACCACGTCATTCTTTTTCCCCGACATCAAAGAATGGATGAGAAAAACCATGAAAGGAAGGAAAAAAAGGACAAAAATCTGTCACCAGCCATGCAATAATTACCTGTAAAAAAAAAAATTGAAGCTTTTATGGCAACAAAATTATCGTCAAACATGTTATCAAAAAAAAAAAAATCATCAAATACACCACGTTCTCCACTATATATCCCTCACAACGCAACACGAACACAAACACAATACAGCACAACACAAACACACGTTCAGATTTCCAACAACATAAATATGTCTTCTTCTTCTCCTTTCATGGATTGGCCTGTGAAATTCGTTTTCAGATACACACATATAGTTCTACTGATTTTCTTCTTCCTTTCTTCTTCTTCCTCTTCTTTACCTTTACACCCTCTGGTTGGTGATAATACGACGGCGTATCACAGAAACTTCACTGCGATATCTGAATTTAGAGTGCTCAACAGAAGAATCTTGGAGGATTGTTCGGCTTCTTCTAGCCCTAATTATCTGCAAGTGAATGTCACGACTAATTCTTCGTCTTCTTCATCGTCTAAGAATGGATTATCAGATGACGAGTTTGTCACTGTCACTGTTTCTGGTGTTTCTCAGCCTTCGGATGATGATTGGGTTGCTATGATCTCACCCTCAGATTCTGAGTAAGACTATAACTTTACGCCTTAATATTATCTATAATTCTATTTACGTTTTGATTTGATATATTTTGATTTTGATTAATTAATTTGATTCTCTTCTTTTTTTTTCTTTTGGCTAATTTTGAAGACAGATTATAAATTAGACACAATATTTTTGAATTTTGATCTACTTTAAGGTCATGTGTCTCATCGATGATCACTTTATATTGGCGAATAATTCTGCCTCACTTTTTGCCTCCTTTAATTTCTTTGAAATTAATTAATCATTTTATTACCTATTTTAATTAAGCTTCAAGTGTCGTTGATGATAATTATGCAAAATTTTAATTAAAATTTAATGATTCGTTCAAATCTAATATAAAAATGTGGGCCTTTGTTTGAAGTTGTATTTATTTTTTATTTTTTATAAAAAGATGAAACTGTGACCATCTTAAATAAAATGTGATTAAAATACAAAAAATTGAAATATTAAATAATTTAAATTTCATTAAAACGATTTAAGAACACGATGCAATTATATATGAAATTGCGCATACATTGTGGACTTTCACGTATCACTATGCAATATATTTATTTATTCTAAAATCAGTCTTTTTAAAACTTCACGTCATCAACCTGAAGCCTTGATTTTAAATAAATTTTAATTTTAATTTTCAGGATTCGCTCCATAAAACATAGGCCTCATATATTAATTATAAATATTTTAATCTGATTTCTTACTTTTTGTTGATGCAGCGTCAAAGCATGTCTTTCTAATTGGAACCTTTATCTTCAAACTGGTGATACTGCTAAGCTTCCTCTTCTCTGTCATTACCCTGTAAAGGTATGCCCATGCTTCTTTTTATTTTTATTTTTATTTAGTTGATATTATTTTGTTTATTTAAAATTACTCATTTTTTTAAAAATATATTTTATGAAATTTTATGATTTTTATTTAAAATTTTAAAAATAATTATATTTTTTAAAAATATTTTTCTGATTACCTGATTAATTATTATTTTCTAAGATATTATTTTGATGATTTTAGTGTCATTTTCATGCCTTGCCTTTTGTGGCTCCTTCCGTTCGGCAAGTGCTTTACGAGGCTGATAATTTATTATTCGGTGAAAACTACAAAAGGTCAATTAATATATTATTTGCAAAGATTCAAAATAAATTATGACAACAAAATAAATGTGGACACTGTGATTTCATGATAGACCATGCCTCATTAATGCTCCACCTGTCAATCATCTTTTTGGGTATATCCTTCTAAACTTGTTTCTTTAATTTTTTTTACACGAATTTAATATTTAAATTTTAAAAATAAATATAGTTGGTGGATTTGAGATTAATGTTAAAACTTAAATAGTGATATGAATTTACACAATTTAATTTTCGAATTAAAATTATTAAGGGATTGTTCAGTTTATAAAATTAAATGATAATTTAGAATTCAGTTTAGAGCGTTTTAGCACTTGCTTAAAAAGTTGGTATCAGTTATTTTATTGTGGATAACTTCATGTAATTTATTCATTTATTTGAATTGACATATCAGCAAATCCAATGAACATGTGAATATCATTAAATCTTTTAATAAAGTACATGTTTATTTTTTTCAGATTAATTTAAATAATAATGATTTATATAGTTCACTGCATCAAAAAAATTAAAAAAATGATAATAAAATCTCAAAAGGATAAATTAATGATAGTTAGGTCTCAACCAATTTTTGATAAAATAAGTTACAGATATCAACTTAAACAATTATAAATAAGAGTTCAAATTGTAAATTAATTGTTATATTTAGAATTTAAATACTGTATTTACAATGAAATTTTTAAATTTATAATTATAATTATTTAAATTAATATTTACAATTAATTTTTTGAATAAATTTATTGTCATTAATTTTCTTTATCAAGACTTACCTCTCATTCTCTCAAAAAATAATGTTTCATATTGTTCGTTCATGCCGAAATGAATCAGTTTTGACTAATTAACAAATAAAATTTTTTTATTTATGATCTACAACTAAATTAATTAATTCTTTATTCATATTTTCACATCATCGGTGAGAACATAAAAAAAAATGAATTTAAGATAGTATATATGGTGAGGCAGTCATATACGAAATATCTTTGAAGTCAAAATATAATTAATCCTACTGCTGAAAAAATTTATTGTGATTAGTCCATTGTTAACGTGAAAGCTTCCATAATTAGAAATGAATAATTAATTATGAATTACTTGGTTTGTTTATTGCAAATAGAAGTGTGGACATGAGAACACACGTGGACTAAAAACATGAAATTATTAATTCGAGCATATTCTTTCTATTGACTTTGTGAACTGTATATGTTAAGCTTTCAACATCCATAATGTTGATTGATTCATGCCTAAATATGCCACACATGCATGTTGTGACCAAACCCTATATTGGGCTTTTTAAATATTGCAACGCTTCAATTGTAATCTTGTTTAAGTAATTAAAGTGAAAGTGATGAAAGCAACATTTAAGGCTTGTTGGAACATTTTCTTGTTAATGATTTAACCTTGATAAGAAAACACACATGCACATATGTACCAAGTAAAGTTAGCATGACGGATAAAAACTCTCATCAATTAAATAAGTAGTATGAGATTCAAATATCAATCATTATTTGTAAAACCCAGACCGACCTGGCCCCATTAATCCTAAATTGATGAACTAGTCATTTAGCTAGTCTAATTGATTGAGGAAACCGATCACCTATGACCTAGCTTCAACCTAGACAAACCTCGTAAGTTAATGGGTTGACCTGAATCGGATTTTTTTCTTTTCTTCTTTTGAATATTGCATCTTAGATCAAATATAAATTTCTTAATTAATAATTTTAATGCCACTGTGTTTTATTATTGGTAGAAATTTATAATTATTATTTTCATAAGACATGCATAAGATTTTATGTAAAAATATTTAGTTGAAAGATATATATTTATTACTCTCAATGTTGAAGAAGATAAGAACATATATCCACACACATGAGACGAGACGTCAGTGGCATATTATGGTACCTTAAAGACATTAACAAAGCGACGTGAAGACACAAAGTTCATTACGTTCACGTATCAATTTCTTCACGAAGACATTGTCAATTGAATAATCCAGACCACTAGTCTGGCATTATTCCGTCCACAACAAAAGTTTTATTCTTCTTTTTTTCCCTCTCTCTTTCCGGTGGGTAGGTTTATTTTTATTTTCTTTCTCCTAGAAAATTATGTTCAAATATATTTTATTATTGAGAGGTATATTAATTTTGAATATTTAAATTTAAATGCATTTTGTATTTGCTTTCATGAACAATTGTTCTTTTCATTTTCTATGTGATTTCGTTTTGAAAATTACTTATATATTTAACTTTATATACTTAAGGTGTTTATTTTTAATTAAATCAAAACATGTGTATTTTTTTATGAATTATTTATTCTATAATATATTCTTGTTATGAATATAATTAACACATTAAAATCTAGATGTCTATTGATTTGAATATATAAGACTAATTAACTCTTGTCCTTTTGTTTTTGGGTGTTTTTAGTGGAGGCAGGGTTTATATAAGAAACCTTGCGATTATTTAATATGATTTTTTTAAAAAAAAATTACTTGATTATTTAGTTGTTTTTCTTTTCATTTTGTTTGATTGAAATGAAATATAATATACAATGAAATAAAACCTTTGAAATCTAAATATAAGAAATATTAATTTAAATTTTAAATAAAAAATTAAAATCTAGACATTCATTTGTATTTAAACAAATTGAATTACAAATCCTTACAAAACAACTGAGAATCACCATTCATGAATATAAATTATATAATACATTTCAACGGTACAAAATAATAAAAATATGGTCATAACAAAAACAAGTTAAATAATGATAGTTAGGTTCCAAATACTAAATTAATGACAATTAGGTCCCAACAAAATTTTCTACAAATATAAATTGTAACTATAATGCAAATAGTTATAAACAAAAAGTTTTGTTACAACCTAAGAGTTTCATTAATACTTAAATACTTATTTATAATTAAAACCCTTGAATTATAATTATCTAAATCAGTATTTTTAACTTTTTTTCAAAAAATTTGTTGAGGACTTA